TCAAACTTAAATCATTTGATATTTGATTGTTTGCTCGTTATTTCATTGCAGAATTTCATGGTGGACGTAAAAGGACCTCAAATGGCGCTTTTGCCTGTACTGGCATTTGAAGGTGGGACAAGGAGAAATATACCCAAGTTTGAGGTCCGTAGAATCGAAGAATTCATGTTTTATTGAACTGTTCATGAAAGAGTCTTGAGGCGGCATTGCGTTCCATGTTTAGTAATAAGTTGCTTGAGATGCGAGAATGTTTCGACGTTGCTCGTGTAAATTATTTTAGTCCATAGGTGACATGTGAGCCTAACAGATTTAGTATTTCATTTGTATGGTTGTAGTCGTAACTATCAAATATCTCGTCTTCTTTTTAGCGATAGATCTGCTGTGTGAAATGATCATATGTCATTTGCTCAGTTTTCAGGATAACATCTTCTTGCAACAGGTAGGCACTCTAATCTATGTTCGGGTTGTGAAGACGAACACGGGAATGAATCCGGAGCTGTCATGTACTGACGGTGAGCCCGTCCATCTTGTTTCTCTGTCAATGTTTGTTTTCCATGTTAGTTTCTGCACTAATTAATAACTTGATTCCATTTAAAAGCAAGCGGAAAGGCTGCAGAATTTGGACCCTTAAGAGATGGTTTCATGTTTGAAACTTCAACTGGTTTGGCAAGGATGTAAGGCTCTTCTTGTTCATATTTCAGCATTTTTGTTGGGCTGAGTTCCCTTGCATCTCCATTCTTGACATACAAAGGGTCTTTCTCTTATCTTAAAGGTTGCTAAGCTCACCAACATGCCCAGTCCTCGAAACCCTTGGGAAGAAACTTTCATTCGAGATTGCGGTCGGCCTAAATGGCAGAGTCTGGGTATATATATACATAGACATTATATCCTTGATCTGCAGCATTTTGTTAGCATATAAATTCATGGATAGGATAGCTCGGTATTTATGCCCTTTGTGTGTTCTGAGAGAACTTGTTAACGCACGATTCCAGGTAAATGCAGCCTCTCCTCGTGCGGTGATTATTGTCGCCAATGCGATCATGAACTCTGAGTTGTTAAGCGGGACACAGCAGAGGATCATGGTGGAGAAATTGCTTGGAAAAGTCTCAGAGTGAGGTTGGTTAGTCTAACGTTGCGTGCCAAAGCTCACACTTGCTTCCCCAGTTT